CCCTGCCAGCCTCCCCCGCCCCCTAATCAGCCAGCTGTCAGCTGATGGACCCGTCCGTCTGCCCGCCCCCGCCTCCGCCCGGCGCACGAGACGACGCTCACGCCGGCGGAGCGCGCTGGACGTTCCCCGAAGGCGGGGTGCTTCCCTCACGTACGCACGTACACGAGGTGCACGTAGACCACCTCGCTACGGCACGTAAGGCGTAAGGCCCAAAGACAGTCCCATGCGCGCAAATCAGCGAATCGTTGCTCGCAATATCGCAATTTACACATCTAGGAGGAGATGCATCGTTAGTGGCGTACCTAATGGGTTCCGTAGAGCAAACTGGCCCTTTTTCAGGCGGCTCACAAGAAGGGTACAATATAAGAAGACATTTATTGGGGATGATAAATCTATCTACAGAAGATAGGGCGGTCGCTATATGCCCCATCCCAGCAAACTAGCCCGTATGCACGAGTGCGGGCGGGTTGCCTATTCGCTCGGGGCCATACACAATAAGTCCAGTTCGGCGTGACCACAATGTGGCCACAACCCCGGCGTTTTCTATTTCCTCAATCAGAATCTCCCGCACGGAATGTGTTGTTAGTGCTAGAACCTTAAGTGTCAGTCGGTAGAGGAAGCCGCATCCAAATTTACCGCGCTCTTGTTGCCGTCCATGCTTGCCAACTTAACTCCTGAGGGAAGTAATTCTTCCATTTGCTCAGTAATCACCTAACTTATCGATCAGTGACGGTTGCGGCGATATTGCAATATGTCTGTTTTATTCTTTTTTGACAGTTGTAAGACCACTGTAAGCCCCGATCGTTCTATTGCAAAAATTGTGTTTTGTTGTTCAACGGTTGGTTTTGCGTATCTTTCGAGTTTTGAGAGGAGAGGGGGAAGAGTTTGTTTTGGTTTGTTTACCAAAGTCGTCAGCTGACAATGCAGACAGCCCTTTGGCAACACACATTCCCTCCCAGATTATGAACATCCGCGTGACAGTAGCCTCGTTAGGTTTTAAATTTAAGAGTATTTATTCTCGTATTGGTAGCACAGTTGCAAGTACAGACAGCAGACCTCCGAGCGGCGTACTCAAGTGTCATTGCAAATCAAGAAACCCACTGAAAACAGGTAATGTTTAAAGCAAGTTGGTATGTTTTTTTGAAAGACAAGTTGATTTCTGTTATCACTGCGATAGCTTTTATCTTCCTGTCGCATATCTCCGCTGTATTTGATGATTGCGTTGTCGAACTAACCTAAGAAATGGGCGCCTGCCGCCCGCACAACCGGGCAGGCACTTTTTGGCGCAGTACAGTACGTATAGGAGGTGACACTGTCCTCATGATGTCACTGTGATTTTTATCAGCTTTCATGGCCGCGCGCAGGTGATCCCAGATTTTGAAGAACTGACCACCCCATCAATACGTCCATTTACGATGCGTAAGTCGAGCTGATCTCCTCAGCACTTTGTTTCTTTTCCCCCGCACAACTTTTGAAGTGAGCGACACAACTCGAGCCTAGCCTAATCCTAATGTAGCAGCGAGGGTTCGAACCGTTCGAACCCGGTCCGCGCAGACAGCTTGTTTTCTGCCGCGGCTGACGCTGACCCCTCATCATCCTGTTATCGTCAGTCCTGTGCTTATCGCCGGGGGCCGTGGTCCGACGGGTTCGGCCGGCGGGCCGCCACCGGGGACCACCGAGCCGGTCCCCGCCCGATTGTCACATTTACCCATAGCTAAATGAGTCTACGACAGATCGGACATCCGGCTGAAGTCGAGCCTTGGCTAAAAGTCGGACGCGCGCGTGCAGAGTAGGCGCGATTTTATTGAGGAAAAGGGGGGGGGGGCAAGGGACACACACACGCCCCCCCCCCCTCCAAAGTCAGCTAAATCATTCAGATCTATCCCTCGGGTCGCCCGAAGTCGCTTCGGGACGTAGCAGCCGAGACTGCTGTTGCTCGCTAGTCCATTGTGCGTCCACGACTGATGCACAGGCGTGTCCGAACTGTCGTCGACTCGCTTATCTATGCATTCGCCCATCACCTCTGGAGACTCACCATGGCGATGAACTCCCACGCATCGGCACTCACCTGCCTCGCGCTGCTGGTCCTTTCTGCAGCCACCCTCTTCTGCTCCGCGACGGACTCGGCCACCTCGGCGACGACCGGTGGCGGCGTCAGCGGCGTTATCCCCGGCGATGGCCCCGGCGACGGCAAGTTCCTCTACTTCGCGTACGGCAGCAACCTGCTGGCCAGGCGGCTGCACCTCATGAACCCCACGGCGCAGCGGCACGGCATCGGCGAGCTCCGGGTAAGCGCCGTAGGGTAGGCCGCCCGCCGCGTGGGCGCGCGCCCCGCCGGCCTACCTCCCCGGCGTGCTCGCCGCTGCTGACCTTCCCTCACCTCCCCGTTGCAGGACTACCGCCTAGACTTCAGCACGCCCGCGTCCAAGCGCTGGGGCGGGGCGCCCGCGACGGTGGTGCCGGACCCGGGCGAGTCGGTGTGGGGCGCCATCTGGTCGCTGGACATCGAGGACCGCGACCACCTGGACGAGTGAGTACTGCGGCCAGGCGGCCGCTCGCCCGCGCCGCGTAACCTGCGGGTCTCTAACCTCGCTTTGGTCCTTCCTCAGACAGGAGTCGGTCGGGTCCGGGCTGTACGACGTGTTCAACGCCACGGTGCGCGTCGCGGGCGGCGGCGTGCTGCAGTGCCGCTGCTACCTGATGCGGGAGGTGCCGCCCCGGCTGGCGCCCGGGGAGGCGCGGCCCGCCGCCCGCCAGCCCTCGCTCGTCTACAAGCAGGTCCTGCTGCACGGCGCCCGCGAGTCGGGCCTGCCCGCCGAGTACGTCGAGCGCATGCAGGCCGTGCAGGACAACGGGTCGGCAGGGGCGTCGCCGCCCATCTCGCTGGACAGTCTGCAGCAGCAGCAGCCCGCGCAGGCCGCGTGTTGAGGCAGGCCTACGGGCAGCCCGTGCTGCACGGAAACCTGATCCCCACCACCGACCGACCGACCCGGCCTTGCACGTCGTCAACACCGGATAAAACTGTATCGACTGACTTCTCTCTTCCTTTCTGCTCTTCACCTGTGGCAAAATCACCCGACAACAAAAAAACAAAGCCTGATTATGATAAGATGTTGAAAAGAGTGTTTTTGCATGACAATAAAAAATAATTACCCAAGTTCCTAAAGACGCACGTTTCTCGGCATTCCCTCACCAACGCTGTCACTATGTGCCGTGCGTAGGTGAACACTGCCTATAGCCGCTCTTCCTCATTTCGCTGACCGTGAAGCACAAAGTGCTCACAGTGCTTCGTGTCCGGAGGCCGAAGCGTTGACGTGGTGCGTAGTGTTCTGGTGGAAGAACTATGGGGGCATTTTAAAAAGGTCTGCAATTTTCTTCTTTGGATCTAATTACACCTGGTGGGGAAGACATTTGGCTTAAGGTCAGTAGTGAGATTACTGTGAATGTCTTATTCGAATTTGAGAATGAGAGTCTGGACTTAACACGCCTGGCTCTTATCAGTCAAGTTCAGTGATAGTCCCGCATAGCCACACGAGGACTCTAAACTAGCACGAGACAATCTCTCCTTCCGCCCGCCCTCCCCGCACCCCTTACCCCCTTGCGCCGGCTTGCCTGCCTGTATCACGTTGTCGCGCGAGTACGTTTTGCCTTTGCCTTCTTGACAATGTCATACTGTCAAAGTGACTTTTGGTCCCCCGCGGGTTGGTCGAAGCTGGTCCGGCCGGTTGCCCCGCAAACGCAACGAGCTCGAGTACAGGCAGCGCCCCGCGGCCGCGAAGCCGCGAAGGCTATATAAGCGGACTACGGCTTCGGCCGCTTCTTTCTTGACAGTCCGGTCGTCAAGCAGAGAGGTAGAGGTATACACTCGCGGTGTAGCAGCTCAAAGCCCGGCAACGCCCACACGCGGACTCCCCAAGACGCTCCTCATCCCACTCGGCGCCGGCGCACCGTCCATTCCCTCTCCGGACCCGCTCGCGCTCACTCGCACCCGCGGCCGCAGCAATCCGCTCCGCTCCCGCCACTCCCCGCCGCCGCGCCGCTCCAAGAAGTCAGAACTGGCTGCTCTCCTCGGGTCCAAAGGGTTCTGCTTGAGCTTCTTCCGCGGCTTCAAGATGGCAGCGAACAGGAACCCTGAAATCAAGTACACCAAGGTAATTTGTGCTTTCATTTTCCCAGCGTGCGCTCCGTCATCCCTGTCATGAGGCCTTTCTGTGCGGGAGAAGTTTGAGTTTGAGTTCCGTGTGACGTTTAACCTCTCTAATTTGGCCAGTCTTGCTGGGGTGATTGTGTTGACTTCTGACAGGGTTGCTGTGTTTTGCCTTTTTCAGCCTGTCAGCCGGTCTCGAAGTGTTTACCAATTAGTTGTTTTGCTTCTCAATATAATAAACGTCAATCCGCTTTTACAAAAGAATTATATTGGCAGTGTAACCTTGGTAGAATTGGAGAAATGCCTCACGCAATTTACAAAAACACCTTTTGATTTGTATTACACTGTATTGACATTAGTTTCTCTCATGTTTAGCTTTTCATCAACAACGAATTTGTGGATGCTGCAAATGGAAAGACTTTTGCCACCATAAACCCAGCCACTGAAAAGAAAATTGCCGACATATCTGAAGCAGGCAAGGTAATTTTTGTGCATGGTTCTTAATATTATTGGTCACGGTGGTATGTAGACCATACCTACACCAGACTACCTCTACCTGTAAACTCAGATGAAAATTCCAAATTAATTTCAGGAAGATGTGGATAAAGCTGTTTTGGCTGCTCGGGCAGCATTCAACCGCAAGTCTGAATGGAGGACCATGGATGCTTCAAAGAGAGGAGAATTGATGTCAAAGGTTAGAGTTAGGATGCTGTTACTTTGTATTACCATGAATAGTTTGAAATAGTGGATTTAACTTAAAATTATGATAATGCTTGTTTCGGTAGCTTGCTGCTCTGATGGAATCCAACAAAACCTATTTGGCTAATTTGGAATCCCTTGATAATGGAAAACCATTCAATGATGCTGTGTTTGACATGGATTGTTCAATTAAAACCATTCAGTATTATGCTGGTTGGTGTGACAAAGTCCACGGTAACACTGTCCCGGCCGGTATGTTTTCATCATCTATGTTAAAATTCTGCAAAATTTCTAATTGTGTTACATCACCCTTTGCTCATTTTGTCCTCTTTCTGTTGAGAAGTAAACCTATTTTTTTGTTTCTATTTTGTATTGTAGATGGCAATGTCCTGTGTATCACACGCAAAGAGCCTGTTGGTGTAGTCGGTGCTATTATTCCATGGAACTACCCTGTGCTGATGGCTACATGGAAAATGGGCCCGGCTTTGGCCACAGGATGCACTATGATCCTCAAACCCGCAGAACAAACTCCCCTTACTGCCCTTGTCCTTGCTCAACTTGTAAAAGAGGTAAGTACATTAAAATTTTAAATTTAATAAAATCCATTCATTATTCTTTAGAAAATTTCAATCAGACTCCTGCTTAATTTTTCCCCTTTTAGGCTGGGTTTCCTCCTGGTGTTTTTAATGTTGTCAATGGCTTTGGCACAACAGGTGCCTTCATTTGCTCTCACAATGATGTAAATAAGGTTGCATTCACTGGCTCAACAGAGGTGAGGGAAAAGCAATGTGATAGTGAGGTCACTCACAACAGTACAGTAGTTCTATTACTAAACACAACTACTCTTCCAGGTCGGCAGGCTCATCATGGAGGCAGCAGCAAGATCAAATCTGAAACGTGTTTCCCTGGAACTTGGTGGAAAGAGTCCTTTAGTTGTTTTTGAGGATGCTGATGGTAAGAATCTTTTAAATGGTTCTTAGAGGGTAATAATCTATTTGTACTAATTATATTTTAATATACAATTTAGTTGATGAAGCTGTAACCATTGCCCACAATGGGATCTTTGCTAATCATGGCCAAAATTGTTGTGCTGCATCTCGTACTTTTGTTCATGAAAAAGTATATGATGAGTTTGTGAAGAAAGCTGCAGCAAAGGCATCAGCTCGTAAGGTTGGAGATCCCTTTACTGATGGAGTAGACCAGGGACCTCAAGTAAGCTAGCATTTCAGTTTTGAATTCACTATAATATGAAGAACTTAACTGAAGTAAGTTTTCACGGACTTTACCCTATTTTAGGTGGACAAGGAAATGTTTGACAAGGTGACTGGACTTATTGAATCAGGGAAGAAAGAGGGAGCTCGCGTTGTAGCTGGTGGTGAGCGGGTTGGAAATGTTGGCTACTTTGTTCAACCTACAGTGTTTGCCGATGTTCAGGACAACATGAGGATTGCTCGTGAAGAAGTAGGTCTCCTTCATCCATCAGTGCTACACTATTTAAAATTATTTCTTACCTTGATCTTATGCTTGTGCCCTAGATTTTTGGTCCAGTTCAACAGATTCTGAAATTCAGCTCCATGGAAGAAGTTATTTCTCGTGCCAATAATACAGCATATGGTCTTGCAGCTGGAATAATAACTAAAGACATTAATAAAGCTCTTACTTTTGCTGAATCTGTTCTTGCTGGATCAGTGTGGTATGTGGTAAAAAAAAGTGGCAAAATTACCTTTTTAATAGAAGCAGGAATAATTATAACATTCATCTATCTCTTTCAGGGTTAACTGCTATGACTATGTAGTTCCACAAGCACCTTTTGGAGGTTTCAAGCAATCTGGATTTGGACGAGAACTGTAATTATCTTCTTAAAAATATCTTTAGAATTCTTTGTAGATTGTGGCTGATGAAAACTTGTGTGTTTACAGGGGAGAAGATGCTTTGAAGGAGTACCTGGAAACTAAAACTATCACTATTCAACTGCCATCTGCATAAGACAATAAGTAGGAGGACACATTTCATACGTACATTTATGTTTCTATTGTGTTTTGTACATCAACTTACTAATCAAATAATTTTACTGTCCTTTTAGCATTTTAAAGTTTCTTGTTTGAGTGTATATATATATATAGTTTAGTAAAAAAACTGTTATGAAGTAACTATACAAATGGTGTATTATTTCAAGAATGTCTCATAATTTTACAATCCAACAAGAATAGATCATAGCTCCACTATATCAGAAAAAAGTAAACAATATGCCTGATCCTTTAAAGGAGTTTGGAAAACACAATTGGTGCATCATATTAACAATTCTAGTTGTTTAAGTCATTTAGTACATAACATTAATGCCAATACAGGTACACGTCAAATACATGAATAAATCAAGAGCTTTAAAAATATCAAGCCAAAAAAACACTTGTCAAGCAGATTCTTTGGGCAACCGCTTAAATCTTCACAAACATTTCTTTTGCATAGGATTCTGGTGTAATATGAATCTGTTATACTTAAATTCGCTTATAACAAAAAAAAAATGCATAATAATCAATAAAACTCAATACCTGGTGATAATTCACACAAGCCATTTACATCACGATTCGGACTTTCCTTTACTTGGTCCACTTGCCAATGCAACACCTGCTTCACCAGATTCTAACTGTTTTAAGAGACGGAATAGAGCAGCTGCTTCCCTAATACGACTAAACTCAATACAGAAGGCTTGGACTTCAATAAACAGCTCCTAAATAAAAACAATAACATTTTAGAATGGTTGGTCTTTTGAAATGTAAATTTTAGAAGTCTTAGCTAGCTTATCTTACCTGCACATTAATAATTTTGTTTCGAATCAGTGACTGGAGAAAAACACATACCAAACGTACAAGTCTATTTTGCATGTAACGATCCTTAATAGTCTCACATGTAGATATGCAATTGGATATATATAAATGAACGAATTCTGTTGGCAAATCTACAGTAGTGGTAAGTCTGAAATAAAAAAGTAAAATAAAGAAAAAAATAATTGACTTAAAACAACATAAGGGAGGAAAGTAACACAAACCTGTTAACTACTTCCATTGAATGGAGTGACATTTCCATGTTGACAAGAACGCTAAAGTATTCTGTTATATGTGTAGACTGCATTAATTTCAAAAGTACCTCTATAGCAATTAAAGGATTATTTTCAACCAAGTCAGGAAGCTGAAAGGAAGAAAAAATATGTCAAGGCACAGGAATGAGATGCTTTCTATTAATGGCTGTAAAGAACTCATTTTACCTTGATGGGTGTAAGACCAATGTGGTAGACTAGTCTTGGATCAGCATCTAACTCTCCCAGAAGGTGTTGCTGTTGCTGAGTTGTAAGGGGATTATTAAATGCTTTCGCCATAAGGCGTTTTGCCTCAACCCCAGAACTTTTCGAGACACACAAGGTGACATCATAAGCTGGCTTGTGTTTATTTGGCTCTGTAATATTGAGCCAAGCCATCTAGAGAAGATAGATAAAATTAATGAGATGAGTATTTGTGCATTAAGATTATTAGATTGTTCATAATGACAGTGTGCACCAGCAGTAGAAAAAACTTACCTCATCTTCACATTCATGTAAAGGTGGTACCAATCGTAAGAATTCTGGTTTATAAAACTGTTGAACTATAGGTTTTTCACCAGTCAGCAAGGATTCAGCTGTTTTTCTCGGCACTGTTTGATCAGGTTGGACTCTGTTTCAGAAATAATAATGCAACTGAAGAATCCCAAGAAAGAAAACTGGTGAAGAAGACAATTTATGAAAAGTTAGAACTTACAAAGGAATTCTTGACTCACTATCCGGAAGAACTATTGGAACACCAGCTCTTGCTGTATGAGGGAGCTCGGACTGTCGTTCAGCTAGTGCCAGTTGAACAGATGTGATGTCTACACTATGGTAGGATGAAGGTTCAGAGTTTAAAACTTGAGGAGCAGTCTTTTTCAATAACTGAAATCATTAGAAAAGCAACTATAAGGTGATCAGAAGTCTAATTTCCATTCAAATAACTTAATTGTATATAGAATTATACCTCTCGAGATGTGCTTGTTACAAGTTGAGCAAGGAAATTTTTCTCTACAGCTGAAATTCTTGGCATTTCCCCTGCATACTCTAATTTGCGCATTGAGGTCTTCCCCATTTCATCAGGTGGATGCTGCATAAATAGAACAAATAAATAGATGACAAAAAGCAGAAAGGCATTTCGATTGATGAAGCAAGAAAAAGTAGTTCAACTAACCAGAAGGTGTACAAACACAGTAGTGAAGGGGTTTAGAGCCATGGGTTCCCCTTTATACATGTCGTGCAGGAGAACTATAGCAGCCAGGCGCTGTGCAGGTCTAGGTAGCAAATCCGGCTGTTGCAGCAACAATACAAGAGCACATCCCACTGGAAGAGACACATCAATGTTGGTGACACAAATCAGAATAAAATAAAGTTAATGAGCAAGGGAAAATAGTTCTTACCTCTGTAGTGGTCTTGTTTAGCAAAGGCTTGATGTAGTTGGAGGGTGATTCCCTCTAAGGTCAATCTTTCCACAGTTTCTTCACCCAGTATTCTAAGAATCAGACGCAAACCATGTAAAACATTACAGTAACATAAAATAGAATTGCCAGCTTGGACATCTGAGTTACATTTGAGGGCTATAAAACGCAAGTACATGATCGGAATACTTTGAAGATTGAGCAGAAAAATGTTTGGAAATAACATAACCTTTTTACAAACAGTATGTAAACATTGGGGGAACCTTGTTTGAGACCAATATTACGAATCCAAGTTGATTTCTTACCCCAAAAGAGAATGCAGTTCTTTGACAGTTAAAGCCATATTTCGCGTGTGTATTTAATGAGGTGTCATAAGAAAAACTGTAACAGTTTAAAAGTAGCACGGTATTGCGAACATCACATTCATCACAAAATACTTCTTCGCCTTCTCTTAGGGAATTAGGGTTAAGTTTGTATCAAAGACCGGCTGGTATGAAAAATTCAGCGTGTGATTTCGCGCCACTTGTTCAGAGAGTTTACTTTGCGTTTGGTTTGGAGTGGGAGTAGTTTACCTACCCAGCTCGAAGGCAGATGATAAAGACCCGCATCGTCGATTTGCAGAAAATGGTGACAAGTGAGGTGTTTGGAAAGCAGGAGGGCCCCTGACGACAGCATTACGAATGGTATTAGCCGAACGCCTGCGATGTCCGCGTTAGGCAACGTGCTGCACTCTGCCGTCTGACACAGGCAGGCGATGCCTAACCACCAGGCGCTCCTCAAACCCTGGGGGTTCCTGTGTGGTGTGGAATGTAATTGTATCAGCGCGTGTAGGAAGCGGATGAACTTTATTGCACTGGTAGGTCCGCGTTAAAATGTTGTTTTACACCCTCGCATTCACGTAAAACACGTCAACTTTGGTGTGATTTTTCGATCGCTTCTTCAATACATACTGGATGGCGAGGAACGCGGCACCAAGGGCTGTAGGGAGAAAAACGTCCACAAAGGTCATCAACTCGACGGCTGGCGAGGCAAAGGGCTTGAAGTACAGTATCACGGGGGGGCAAGCGCCGCAGGTTAGCGGGAGGTTTATAGTGCCGTACTGATAGCGTTGAAGAGGCGCGGCGCGGGCGCGGCTGGCGGGCGGGCCCGGTGGGCGACCCGGCGGGAGGCGCGGTGCTGAGCGGCGCTGCGCCGTGCTGCGCGGGTACCCGGCCTCGACTCCTCCACTCCAGTGCCAGGGCCAGTGCGGTTCGCCTCGCACGTCGCCGCCGCCCGCCGAAGACGAGTCGTGGTCGCCGACAGACAGACACACGGACGAGACAGCGTGAGTAGTCGCAGCAGCCCGGAGGACAGCCGCGCGGCGTGTGTAACGCGTGCGATCGTGGACAGCAGGGAGGTGACGGACAGCTGCGGGGGGACAGAACGGGATGCGCAGCGTTCTCGCCTAGCGCACCCGGCTGTTTAGTGCGGTGCGCGAGTGTCGGCGAGTACACGTGTTTTTGTGTGACGGGGATGACTCTTGGGACTTCCCCCCGGTTTCAACACTCCATTTTCTAGCCAGTGTGTGACACGTACCTCTGTGTACCGTCTCGCCGTCGTCGCACAGCCGCGCTGCCGTCGTGTTGTGGTTTGTGGAGCCGGGGCGATCACCTCGCGGGGCACTCGACGTCTGCGCGGGAGCGGGGAGGTCAGAGCAGAGAGCACGAAAAGTCCTCGGCGCTTCGGGAGTCAAATAAGACTTAAAATGGCCAGCTGAAAGGGACGCCGCTGACTAGACGGGGTAACCGTGGCGGGGTGCAGCGAGTAGGCCAGTCGCAGTCGTCGGCCCGCAGAAAACCCGACATCCAGCTGTATTTCGCTGGCGGGGCGGTGGAGTTGAGGTCTCCGCTCCGGGAACCGCACCGCAGCGCGTGGACCGCAGCAGCGCGCCGCGCGGCCCCGCACCACCGCGCGCTCGCCCGGGCGGCTGCACCGAGACCGAGCTCCGCGCCGCGGCCAACCCCGCAGCTGACGTATTGGGGAGGGTCGAGTCGGTGACGAGAGCCATTGAGCTCCTCGTGTTTGTCGGCCTGCTCCTGGTCGCCGGCGCGAGCCCCCGTCGCTGTGATCCAGGGCGCTTGGAATAACTTAGACGCGCGCCGCGCGCCGGCCGGGGCCGGGCCTTCGCGGCGCCCTGCTAAGAGAGGTGTGAGGTAATAGTGAAACAAAACGCGCAGGGAAAAAAGAACGAGCGTCTCTCTGTGAATCGTCATCGCCGTCGATTGCCCCCCGTCAAACGTCGTCGAGAGGGTCTCGCAGGGGGGGCTTCAGCCAGTGAGGCATTGGGCCAGCCTCTCTGTCTCGCTCCCTCTCCGGAGGCTGTTTTTGGGGGGCCGCGGGCGCGCTCTCTCGCTCGCTTACGCCCGGTGTCTGTTGCGCTGATGGACAAAGCAAACACCCTGAATGTGTAGGTGACGCCGAGTGGCGGCGCACATGGTGAAACACCACGCGAGGCCCGCCACCAGGTGCACGCCGTGGGTCAGTCCGCCGCAGTCCGCCGCCACCCTCCGTTCCTATTGCGCTTGCATGCTTTGATGCTTATTCACTCACGTATTTCTTATCGTGGAACTGATATTTAAATTCGGCGTTTGTCCTGTGCGACGATACGTGGCACACGTAGTGTGTCATGACGCTCTGCCAGAAGCATGACACGCCTCGTGTGTGTCACGCGAGTTTTCCTAATACTCCGTTGCCTTTAATAAGAAGCAGAGGTGATTCCACCAGAGTCACAATCGGAGCGAGCGAGGACCGGGTGCCGATCAGCCACCCTCCAGAGCAGGTAGAGAATTGTCAATTTCCCTGAGTATAACGGACACTGCGGACACTAAGACAGTTCAATTTTAGCATCATTTTTTGCCCCTCATATGGGTGTTAATCACAGAACCCCCCCTCTCTACCGGTACTTCCCTTTTGGTATCCAGGGTCACCTGGACACTAACTGTCACTTCTTTGCTGTTTGCACCACACCAAGGTCCCTTCCTTTATTCGCCTTCTCCGTTCATCATCAATTATCTCTGGCGTCGCCTAATATAGTCGGCGTGACTCTGATCAAACCGAAGCCTGACGTTCCCCTCGCCTCGCCTCACCTCGCAGCTCGTGCTATGCACTCTGGCGGAGGCCTTCTCCCTCAGGTTGTCGAGGACAAACAGGTGGGCCCGGTGTGTCCCTCCCGCTCCCCCGACCTTGGACCGCGACAAAGTGTTGGGTGCGCGTCGAGTGGGTTGAACTTGCATCAGGGCTGCTATATGGTGCGCGGCGGCCGCGGGTTGCGCGTTGGGCCCGGCCCGGCCGGCGGGCAGGAGCAGGCCTGATTCGCTCAACGCGGTGTGCAGGGTGGCGATTAGATAGCGCCAGGTCGGCTGAGATAGAGACGACGACTTGCAGACGGTCAGCTGGTCGGCGACGACCGACGACCCCCGGGAGGGATACACGTCAGGATGTTGCCCACCAGCTGCTTGGACTAAAAGGTTCAGGGCGACGACGTCATGGGGCACGCAGCACAGCGTCGAGCCAGTGCTGCTGATGCCGTCGTTGCAATGGCTCAATCGCCTCCAAAAGACGGGGGGG